GTTTGGTATTCCTTGGATGTACAGTTCCAGGGCTGACCACTTGGTACTCCGGCTACTTTCCCCTGGGGTAGATCGTCTCTCCTGTTCTCAGATTCCCTAGGTTGCCTACAGCTCTTCATCACGGGGTGGCGTCCATGAGATTTCCCACTTCCATTTAGTATGTCTATTTGCGTCGTCCTTGTTTGGGTCTTGTTTGGGCAGCCATCTTGTTGAGATATCATGGATAAAGCATCTCTGTTATTTTGAGGAGATCCATTTCCTGGCAGATCTCCTGGTCCCCTGATGGTTACAAGCAATCTTCTCCTTCTTTGGTGATAGCCCCTGAGTCCTGGGTGCATGGGTTGTGGTCCAGATTCATCCACTGGAGCTCGACACCCTATGATTAACCCCAAGAGTTGTTCTCTTCGTTTTGACCACTTGAGGTTTTCTTTAATAATTTCTGTCTGTTGCAAAAAGTATCTCCTTCAGTGAAGGCTGCAAGCATATTTATGGGTATAAGGATAAGTATTTAGAGTGCAGTTAGAAATTATGCTGGTTTAGTAGAAAGCTATAGTTTCAAAAAAAAAAAAAAAGCAACAACAAAACCCATTCTATGTAGCCCTCTAGCGTTGGGAAACCACTGGTCTAACTTGTTTGCATTGTTCCCTCCTAAGCCCAAGCATCACCTCCCCAGAGAGCTTGACAATGGTCCTCAGCTGCAGTCAAGCCCAACCAACCCCATTCCTGGCTGTTTTCTCTGTAACAATTAGTACTCTAGTAAACATCTCCTTGGTTTGTCTATGCATGCACCTTCAGTTCTCCCTCCCTACAAAGTGGGCTCTCTGAGAATGCTTTGCTCACTGCTGAGAGCAACATCTGCTATTACATTATTAATATTAATTAACTAATTATAAAATTAGTGAGTCTAAATTACTGAAAACAATCTATTGGTTAGAGTTATGGAAACAGTGGGCTCTCGTTTGCATCCTTGTATAGTTTGGAGTGTGGAGATTGGACATGGGTAGACCTCTGTGGCTGGTTAGATCTACACCCCTGTTTTCCAAGTATCTGCCTTTGGGTATAAACTTTGAAGCGGCAATGTATAGCACAAGGGTCCTCTATCCTGGGTCTCCATATACACTACAGGCACACACACACCTACATCCATTAAACTGGCCATGGTATACTGCAGCCCTTGGAATCTGGCACTTGGCACAGTTGTGGTGCCACCTTTGACTCTGAGTATCCACTCTGATTCAGACACCTGCCTATGCCCCTAATCAGTGCTTTTGCATTGTTCGCTCTGTGTCTCAACCAGCATAAAACTGTCTCGTTTTAGTAACTTTGTAAGTGTGGTATCAGAGGAAAAAAAGTGTGGGGTGGGGGATGGGGATGAATCAGAGAGGGTCGCAGATGGGAGAGAAGAGGTGTGGAGTGTTAATACGGAGCAGGGGTGTGGTGGGAGGAACAGACATGGCAACAGTAGTTCAGCGAGAATACTTCCCAGTATAGGTGATTGCTCTTCTTTTTTCTCTTTCCTGTTCCTCCCCTCCCCTCCCTCCCTCCCTCCCTCCCCTCCCTTCCTTCTCCTCCCTTTCCTCTTCTTGGCTCTTTTCATTCTTTCTTTACTTCAATTCCTGAGCAAGAAGATTCTTGGAAATTCTGACAGCATTTGTAACAGCAGCACATACCAGATATTCAACTTCCTACAACAGAAGACAGTTACTCACTAACCATCACTAGGCCATCAACTAAGCAGACTATGTAAAACTAATTAATTCAGTTGTACTTTATATTTCGCCAACTTTCTACTTTGTCACTATGTGTATTTTTTTAAGATTTTTTTTTTTTAGATGAGAGGATGGAATATATTTTATTTAACAATTTGCTCACTTCGTTTATAATTTTAAGCATCTAGACATATGGCGTGTGGGCTCTCATTTGGATCTCACCATGGATCTACAGTTTCTAAGAACAGGCCTTCAAGGAAGGGAATGGATCCTTCCCTTACTCTCTGGGCTGCTTACTTTCACCAACGCTCACAAACTTGGCAGCTTGCAGTAACGTATGAATTAAGAATTCTTTAAAAAAAAAAAAACAATGTGTCAGAAATAAAATGGCGTAGGTCAATAATGCTCACTGGAGTTCTCTCATGCATTTCAAGCAGACACCTGCTGTCTGAACCCTTTCTCAAGGTTCAGCTGGTCCAGGCAGTGGACACTAGCTATCAGCTACTGCTGAACAGAGGCCTCCCCTGTGCCCCTTCAGCAGAGCACTGCTGGTTAACTCAACTTGCAAAAGGAGAGAGAGGGCTCAAGAGAAACTGGCCAATGTATCCAGCCTTTTATCATCATGCCTTGGATATAACTTGATATCAGTTTCAATACATTCCGACTTAAAGCTGGCCAGCTGTCTTAGTTAGGGTGTTACTGCTGTGAACAGACTCCATGACCAAAGCAACTCTTATAAGGACAACATTTAGTTGAGGCTGGCTTACAGGTTCAGAGGTTCAGTCCATTATCATCAAGGTGGGAGCATGGCAGCATCCAGGCAGGCATGGTGCAGGAAGAGCTGAGAGTGCTACATCTTTATCTGAAGACTACTAGCAGAATACTGCCTTCCAGGCAGCTAGGATGAGGGTCTTAAAGCCCACACCTACAGCAGCACACCTACTCCAACAAGGCCCCAACTTCTAATAGTGCCACTACCTGGGCCAAGCATATTCAAACCATGACACCAACCCAGGCCATCATAATTCTCACCTGCACACTCCTGCAGCAACCTCACCAAGGCTTCTCCAGAGTAACACACGCTTTCTGGTCAGCAGTCCATCAGAAATGTCAGGAGGCAAATTATTCAAGTGTTCTCATACAATTCTTGTTGCTCTAACACTGGGTCTGATTAACGTAGATCCAAGGGATGTGTCTAATCCCAGGAAGATGGAAGCCAAGCAAAACTGATGTGAATCTGCTCTAAATAACCAACCTGAGGCTGTGCCAATAAGACAAGAAGGAAGGGCCTACTTGGATGTTACAATCATACACACAGAGAAATCGGTGAGAGTTGGGGAGAGTCCAGATTCTTCACATGAATCAAGACATAATACTTGTCTTTCTGAGCCTGGCTTATCTCACTTAACACGTTGGTCTCGAGTTTCAGGCATTTTTCTGCAAATGTGCTTCTTTATAGACAAAGCTCCACTGTGTGCATACACATTTCCATTGTCCCTCATCTGTGGATGGGCTTCTAAGTCGATTCTATATCTTGGCTACTGTGTAGTAATATGCATCAAATATGAGTGTTAACACGTCACTATTGTTTGCTGACTCCAATTCCTTTGGCTGAATGTCCAAGGATGTTAGAGCTGAATTATATAGTGGTTCTACTTTTAAATTTTGAGACACCTCATGCTGATTTTATAGTGGTTGGACCAGTTTATGCTCTACCTGTATAGCATTAAAAGAACCTTCTTTACACCCTCACTAACATTTCTTGCTGCTTTGTTTTGGTTTTTCCTTTGTAATGGCCATCCTAAATGGTATGAAATAGAATCCCAATATAACTGTAATGTTCACTTTACTGATGACTGAAAATAACTAAGGTTTTTATATGTATTGATCATCCATAAATCTTCTTTGGAGAGCTGTCTGTCAGTTCACTTACCTGTTTGTTGATCTGATGATTTATGCTGGAGTTGCTTATCTTTCTGAGTTCTTTATAGAAGCTAGATGTCAATCCTCCCACCAGATGTACAATTGATGAAGATTTTTCTCTCATGTCAATTTTGCATCTTACATTGCTGAAAGTTTCTATCATATTGAGATGTTTCTGATTGAGTGGAGTCATATCATCTGCAAATAGGGATAAATTGGCATTTTTGTTTCCTGCTTTTATCCTTTCTTTCTCTGCCTTATTACTCTAGCTAAGATGTCAAGCACAATATTGAGTAGTGACTGAGACTGTGGAAACTATTCTATTATTCCTTACCTTAGAGAAAATGCTTTCAGTCCCATTGCTATAATGTTGACTATCAGGTTTAGTCTTTATTATGTTGACATACGTTCCTCCTAGTGCCAGCTTCTTTGGGGCTTTTATAATAACAGGATGTTGAATTTTGCCCATTTTTTCTGTATCTATTGAGATGATCATGTGATTTCTGTTCCTGATTCTATTTCAGTGCTGAATTTCATTTGGTGGCTTGCATATATTGAACCATCTTTGCATCTTTGGAATGAATGCAACTTGGTCGTGATATATGATCTTAATGTGTTGCTGAATTCATTTTGCAATATTGTGTTAAGAACTCAATGTTCTATAATCATCATGGAAGCTGGGCTATAATTGTTGCATTTATTAGTTTGTTCTATCCTTATCTGGTCTTAGTACCGTGGTGATAATAGTAGCATTGAATGCCATTCTTTTCTTCTCTGTGTAATGGATTCTTCTGAGAAGCGTTGATGTCACCTCTTCTTTAAAAGTCTAAGAACATCCAGCAGTGACTCTGCCTGACTCTGTAATTCTTTGTCAGGAGATTATTACTACCTCAGTCTCATTCCTTATATATTTACATTGTTTGCATTTCCTTTTGTTTTCTAGTCATGCATCTCTAAGCATTTATCCATTACATTTCTTCTGTTTTCTACCTTCTTGAAACACAGGTTTTTGAAGTATTCCTTAATGGCCTTTTGGCTTTGCTGATGTTTAGTTTTCCAAAGAGCTAAGTTTTTGTTTCATTGATACTTCGTATTCTTTCAGTCTTGGTTTCATTAATTTTGTTCCCAGTCTTTATTATTTCTTACCATCTGCTGCTTTTAGATTTGACGTATTCTTCTTTTTCAAAATCTGTTTTGGTTTTTTATGTTTTTTATGAATATATTAATTAGATATAAACTTTCTTCTCAGCACTGCCTCTGCCATATTCCAAAGGTTCCAATAAACTACACTTTCACTTTCATTTGACTCTGGCAACTTTTTAATTATCTCTTTGATTTCTTCAGTCATAAAGAGTATATATACAGTTCCCTGCCCTATAGGCATTACAGGTGCAGCTGCTGTTTTATATGTGTGACAGTAGGTGGCAGAGAGGAGAGATGCTATGTCTAAGCTCAGTGTTCTGACCTGTGAATGGCTGAGTGATTAGTAGCCTAACATTCCCTTAAAAAAGGGAGCCTGAGATGACCACCAGTCTGGTGCCAGGGGGTCCAGATAGGCCTGGCAGGCGGGGGTCTATTACCATCAAGGCCAGGCAGACATCACTGGTCTGGGCTGCTGCCCAGAAAAATATTGGTGTCTGAGGACTGGGCAGACTCACCCCTCATCTGGGCATGGGAGTAGGTGGGGAGCTGGTCCTGGAGGCTTGAGAGCAGGAGAGTTTACCCTGCCCCAGCCAGCTGCAGTACTCGAAAGAGCTGGCCCTGCACACTGGAGGAGTTGTGTGCGAGCCAGCCCTGAGGGTATGGGAATAGAAGAACTGTCCCTGCCACTCATCTCCTGTGCAGTGGCATGGATGGGGGAAAGATAGTCACCTCCTCCCTCGCTCTTCGCCACCTGCAGCATGTGGGAGACCTGGTCTTGAGGCCATGAGAACAGGAGAGGTGACCCTGTCCCTCACCAGCCACAGTGCTCTGGAAAACAGCCCCTGCAGCTTGCCTGAGCAGCACAGTAGAGCTGACCCTGGAGGTGGGGTTGTGGGTGAGCTGCCCCTGAAGGCCTGAGAGCACAAGAGTTAGCTTAGCCCTTTGCCTGCTGCAGCACTTGGTAGAGTGGGCTCTGTACCTCACCTGGACAACACAGTAGTGCTGCCCCTGATGGTGTGGACATGGATGAGCCAGACCCAAGACATGAAAGTGGAGCCAGCTGTGCCCCTTGCTGGCTGTGACATTGGATGGGCCAGCCGCCGGGGAAGGGCAGAAGAGCTTTCCCTGGTGGTGTAGGTACAGTAGAGCTGGCAGACTGACCAGCTCAGATACCTCTCAGGCCCAGGGGATTTGAATTGGCCCACAGCCATCAACCCCATCAACAAACTGTTGGAGTACATGAAGGGGTCAGATCTTTTGTCAGATCCAAAACTACAGGTTCTCCATGACACAGGGCAATAACAGGATATCTGAGAGGAGTCCCAGTGAGGTGTCAGTATGGATAGTGTAGCAGAAGCCAGAGGCCTTCAAACCAGACCAATTACTCATTGCAATGAACATCTACAAGTAAAGAGGTGTGGACAAAAGGGTGTACTGTGGGACACACTGTGACACACTATAGCTTCCATGACAAGATGTTTTTTCCCCTGCTAGCAGGGAGTTGGGAGAGTGGAGAGTGGGTATGAGAGTAGGGGGATGAGTGGGATTGGGCTTCATGATGTGAAGTTCAGAAAGAACCAATAAAATTTGAGAAAAATAAATAAGAATAGAAAAGAATATATTGTTGAATCTCTAACTATTTAGACAGTTTCTTTCACTATCAGCTTTTAGTTAGTTGTGTCCTACTATGATCTAACCAAATCCATCACTTTGATTCTTTTACACTTAAGACTTGCTTTATGGCCTATACTGTGATCTGTTTTAGAGACAGTTCCACTGGCTGCTGGAAAGAATATTGAATGAAATATTCTGTAAGTACCTCAGGAAATTTTATCTATGATGCGGACTATTTCTGAAATGTGACATGGTCTGGATGGCCTACCTGTGATGAGAACAGGAAGGTGAAGCTATTTTGTGTTATTGCTTCAGGAGCCTTTGTGCCCATTGGTGTTTATCTTATGACTCTAAGAGCCTCAGCATTGGGTGCTTTGATTCTTACAATACTTATATCTTCCTGACGAATTATTCTGTTTTTTGTTTCTTCTGATTACTTTCATTTGAAGCCAACTACTTCAGGTATCAGAAAAACTCTGCTAGTTTGTTTTGGCTTTTGTTTTCATGATATGCTAATGTCTGTCCTTTAACTCTTAAATTTTCTGTATGTCTTTGCCAGTGATGTGCATTATTTTGAATAAAAAATGGATGTCATTTTTTTTTTAAAGGAAGCAGCTTTTAATTAGAAAGTTAAGCCTATTTGCGTTTAGGGTAAGAAAGTCTCCTGTTGAGAGGTTTAAGGACGTTGTGGATTTGTTGGTTGTTCTCTGGTTGGTTGGATTATTCTCTGTTCTTTTTTCTTTCTCCCTCATTCCCCTTAGGGCTTTTGTTGGGGAACATGATCAATTTTCTGAAGTTTGCTTTTTCCTCTCTCCCACTTCCTGTGTTCTCGTGATTGAAATCATTGTTCTTTCTCTGTGAATTTTCATCTTCTGCAGACCTGGCTTGGTGGTCATGTGTTTTAAAATGTCTCCGTTTCTCTGTTGCTTTTAAAACATAGCTTTGCTGGCTGTGATGATCTCTGTTGACAGTAACTTATTTCCACACCTTGAAATATAGTGTGCCATGCTTTGGGGGCTTCTGTTGAGAGTTCTGTTATTACAAAGTGTTTGTCAGTGTGAACTGTAGTCCTGGGCATCTTAACAATAATGCATCATGAAGAAGTCTTTTCTTGTTATGAATTTGGGGAGTTCAAAGCTACTCTTATGTTTTAATGTCCATTTCTTTCCATGAATCTTGTTTTGTTTTCCCTTCTGTAATCCCACTGAATTTATTTTCTATGCCTTTAGTTTGATCTCAACTCTTTTTGATTCTCACAGGTTCTTAGATTTGGCCTCTTGAGTACATCATAGAGATTTTGGAAGGTGTTGTTGTGCCCATTTCTTTGTATTTCTTTAAGGATATTTGAATACAGTATTTCCTTGACCTTGTCTTCAATTTCTGATTTTTTTCTCTTGCTTTCTCAAAGCTGTCAGTGCTTTCCATTGTGATTTTATTTGATCCATTGTTTTTTTTCACTTCTAACATTTACTTGTTTGTTTGTTTGTTTGTTTGTTTGTTTTCAAAATCTGTTTCCTGCTTAATTCCCACTCATACTGGTGATTTTTTTTCCCCCTCCAGGTCTTGATTTAGGTTTCTCCTTATCTGGGTGGAAATGTGAGAGAAAAACAAAACAAAACTAAACAAAACAAAAAAACTCTTTCCTTCCCAAGATGCTTTTGGCAATCGTGTCTTGTTACAGCAATAGAAACTCTGAGACAGGAGTTGGTGTCTAGTCTACAAATAGCAGGGACATTGCTGTAACAGACCACGCCAGGTACTTTGGAAAAGATTGTGGTGGCATTTTAGTTTGAGGTTACAAAAACCATTCAGTGCTCAGAGCTCAGTGTGCTGTGCTGTGGGGGTCAGGGGATGAGAATGTTGAGAGCAGTCAGATGATGGAGGCCTGTCTTACAATGATTCAAAGGGAAGTATATACTCTACCAGGACTATTTGTATGATGTGCTATTGAAACCTGTGACAAGAGACCAGAACCAATAAAGTGACATCTTTGCTCTGCTGAGCCGATGGATATTTCTCAACTTTAGCTGAGAAATTAGGAGTTTTAAAGAAGAAACCAACATCATTGAGGCAAAAATCGTCTGGGAAGTGTTTTTTTAGAGTCACCACATAGAAGCTGTGGTCCAGAGTGGACCAAGACCATACCCTGTGCTAGCCAAATGTGGTATTATGTAGAGCATTCCAGGTGATTTTGGTTTCAAAGGCATGAAGAGGTCTTAGAGGGGAGCTGAGGCTTGGCACCAGGAGAGGCCAGGAGAGGCCACTAGTGAAGGTCCAGCCTCAGTTGCAGTAGACTCCTTAGTATAGGATAGACCGGGTTATGGAGCAATGTTAAGGTTGGCACCATGTGCTGGGTCAGAGTCTCTGACGAGAGACCAGGGAAAGGCTACTTAGGAGAGACCTAGAAAAGGGCAGCTCAGGTGCAGCAGGGACACTGGCAGTTTGGAGAATGCTATAGAGTGACTACCAAGGACTGCAGCAAGAGTGTGGTGGAGACTGCCAGATCCCACAAGACAGGTCCTTGAAGCCCAGAGTATCGTGAGTAAAGCCCAGATGTTCAACACTGAGTTTTTCATACTGCTGACTTTGGTTTTCTTTGATTCAATCGTGACTGTGCCCTGGTTCTCTCTTGGAGTAAGAAAGTATTTAACTTAAATTTGATTTTATTACAGCCCATGCCTAAAAGACTTTGAAGTTTTCAAGAGACTGGAGTTTTAAGAGACTTGGATGTTTTAAAGAGACTGGACTTTTAAAAGTGTTTGAATTTTTAAGGACTATGACGGTTGCATAAGTTATAATGTGGCTTATATTTTGATAGATATTATAAGATCTTAAGTTTGAACAAGAAAAGAAAGTTAATGGCTCAATAGTAATGTATTGGTGTGTCAAGTTGACTAAGGATCAATTGTCCTGATTAGATTTTGTCAATTTGATACAACCTGGAGTCATTTGGGAAGAGGGAACCACCTCAATTGAGAAAATACCCCTACCAGATTGACCTGAAGGAAGGCATTCTTGTTGGACATTTCTTTGATTAGTGATTGATATGGGATGGCCCAATCTATTCTGGGTAGTTACACCCCTGGGTAGGTGGTCCTAGGTTTTATAAGAAAGCAGGCTGATCAAGCCATGGAGATCAAGTTAGCAAGTAGCACCCTCCATAGCTTCTATATCAGTTCCTGCTTCCAGATTCTTGCCTTGGGTCCCTGCCCAGACTTCCCAGTGTGGTGGGCTGTAACCTGTCAGATGAAATAAGCCTTCTCCTCCACAAACTGCTCTTGGTCATGGTATTTATCACAGCAGTAGAAACCTAGCTAAGACAGTGTCCTTGCCAAAGATATAGAACCTCAGTGGAGTTACAGGAGACATGAGGTGCCCAAATTGGGAGCTATTTCACAAAAATAACTGATTCATGAACCTTAATAGTTTCAAAATTATAAAATGCAAAGAAAAAGCATAATTGTTCTTGACTGAGGGTGACTAAAGAGACATGACAGCTGAATTGTAACAGGTGGGCCTTACTGAAACATTTGCTGAGTCATCAATGGGCTTGGAGGATTAGCTGGCAGTAGAGAACGAATGCTAACTTCCTCAATTTCAAACTAATATTTTTGGTATAATGAGTCATTACATTGGACAGCATGCTTTTAAATGCTTTTAAATGAGAGAAAATAAGCTCTTTGAATAGTACTTCCAAATTTTCTGTAAGTTGTGACTAAACACACACACACACACACACACA